AGATTCTTAATTTAAAAACATATATCGAAGGGAAAAGTTTATATAAGGTTGCAACCATGTAGAACTATAGATGCACCCCAAAAATCCATCGGTAAAGGTTCTTTTAATTTTGAAAAGCCCTCTAATTGATTATCTTGACATCGAGATGTATAACCATGAAAAAAAAAAAAATTTGAGTCTTAGAAATAGTGCATCTTATAACACATTATCTAGACCGTCCATATTCAAGATCTTGACACGTCTATAAATCTATTTGATTTTAATCATTTTTTGAGTTTAAAATTTTATTATTAGAATTGAAAATAGATTTTGAGATGATCTTAAGAATATTTTACCACAAAATTATATATTATGATAAAATTTGACGGTACGCCTTAAATGGTTTGTTTAAGGTTGCAACCTTATGAAAACCACACCCTATATCAAAACTTATATACAAAGTTGTAAAAGAATACATTGTATTAAAAAGTCTGAAAATTGTTAAAAGTACTTTTTAGCAGCATAAAAGTTATTGAAAATATTAATCTAACTAAGTAATCTAAATAAGAAGAAGCTACGATTTTGTGCATGCTAATTTTTAGGTAAAGTTAACATGATTTTCTAAAGCATTCTAAAAGTTCATTACACGCAATTAGAAATTGGTAACAAATAGTTTCCCGATTATAAAATTTTTGATAAAAAGCAAGATTAATTTTCTATGTATCAGAAGTAATTAAAGAACAAGTCATAAATCAAATTAACGAACGTTCAAAATTCAAAACTGAATAAATATAAAATGGGTCATAAATCAAAATAATAAATGTTTAAAATTCAAAACTAAATAATATAAAATATATTAAGGGCCCGTTTGGCTCATTGGATTCATATTTCCAAGAGTCACTTGTCCTAGAAAAGCTAGGCCAATCGTGTTTGGTTCACTTAGAATTTGACATTTCCATTAGAATTGAGAGTTATGTGGGATTCCTCAATGCTCACTTTAAGCCAAGATTTGAAAATCTCAATTCCACCAAAATAGGTGGAATTGATATTTCATAAAAATGATCCATTTTGCTATTGAAGAGCCAAAAAACATATTAAAATTTTAGAGAGAGAAACTATATCAAATTCTAAAGAGAGAAAACATATTAAAATTTTATAGAGGAAAACTATATTAAATTTTAGAGAGAGAGAGTAGAAAAAAAATTAGAGAGAGAAAATATGCAAATTTTTTTAGAGAGAGAAACTATCTCAAATTTTTAGATAGAAAAAGTATCTCAGATTTAAAGTTTTAAGGATACCATATTAAAATTTTAGAGAGAAAAATTATCTCAAATTTTAAATTTTAGAGAGAGAGAAACTACATTAAATTTTAGAGGGGAACAAAATTTTTTTTAGAGAGAAACTTCTCAAAACATTTCGAGAGAAATAATCTCAAATTTTAAATTTTAGAGAGAATATATTAAAATTTTAGAGATTAAAAACTATATCAAATTTTAGATAGAGAAACTACTAGAAAAATTTTAGAGAGAGAAACTATCGCAAATTTTAAGTTTTAGAGAGACAAAGCATCTTAAAACTTTAGAGAAAGAAACTATATCAAATTTTAGATCAATAAAGTACTTGAAATATTTAGAGAGAAAAGTTATTTAAAAAACTTTCGATAGAGAAACTAACTTAAATTTTAAGTTTTAATGAGAGACAACATATTAAAATTTTAGAGAGAAAAACTACTTGAAAATTTTAGAGTGAGAAACTATATTAAATTTTAAGTTTTATAGAGAGAAAAAAATCTTAAAACTTTAGAGAGACAAACTATATCAAATTTTTGATAGAGAAAGTACTTAAAATATTTAGAGAGAGAAGTTATTTAAAAATTTTTCGATAGAGAAACTATCTCAAATTTTAAGTTTTAGTGTGAGAAAGCATATTAAAATTTTAGAGAGAAAAACTACTTGAAAATTTTAGAGTGAAAAACTATATCAAATTTTAACTTTTTGATAGAGAAAGCATCTTAAAACTTTAGAGAGAGGAACTATATCAAATTTTAGATAGAAAAGTACCTAAATTTTTTGGAGAGAGAAACTATTTGAAAAGTTTCAGATAGAGAAACTATCTCAAATTTTAAGTTTTAGAGGGAAAGTATATTAAAATTTTAGAGAGAGAAAGTATCTCAAATTTAAGTTTTAAAGAGAGAAAGCATCTTAAAATTTTAGAGAGTCACTGTATCAAATTTTAGAGTGAGAAAGTACCTAAAATTTCATAGAAAGAGAAACTATCTTAAAAATATTAGAAAGAAACTATCTCAAATTTTAAGTTTTAGATGGAGAAAGTACCTTAAAATTTTAAAAAGAAAAACTATATCATATTTTAGATAGAAAAACTGCCTTAAATTGTTTAGAGAGAGAAACTATCTCAAAAATTTTATAGACCAAAACTATCTCAAATTTTAAGTTTTAGAGAGAAAGTATCTCAAAATTTTAGAGAGCAAAACTATATCAAAGTTTAGAGAGAGAAAGTATATAAAATTTTTAGAGAGAAAATTATCTCAAAATTTTTAGAGAGATAAACTATTTCA